GTGGCTGGGTTGGCACTGTCTCTTGCCTTTGTCCTACCTTGTCAGGGCTACCTATCTCCTGGTTCCAGGATGCTTCCCTGGCCATGCTCTGCCCTGGCCCCTGGGCCTCCCTCTCTGCAATCCTCTGTGCACTCACAGTGATGGTGCCAGGACTGCCCTTCCACTTGAAGGTCTCCTTGCTGCCCTCCCAGGGTCTAGAGCAGTGCTTAGCACGCGGATGGTTCTCAAATACCATTTGTGGATGAATGAAAGAATGAGTGAATGGATGATTAATTACTAGGTTTATAAGACACATTAAAATGAAGCTTTTAGTGAACTGGAAAACAGTTTCCAACATTGAGGAGACAAAGGAAATGGACATGGACCGAGCGTTTGGCAGTAGTAAAGAAGTTTTCATTTTAAGGAACCATAAAATATGTGGGCTTTTTAAACCCTCCTAGGTGAAATAACACATGTATTTTTTCAACATAATTGGCACGAGGGAATTACAAGGGGAGGGTTCGCAAGCAAGACTGGCCATGAGTTGAGGGGTGTGGAAACTGGCTGGGGTGATTCTCCCTCCTCTTAATGGTTGAAGCTTATATATATGTCCCAGGAATGGGTGTAGGTGGAGAAAGGTAGCTTTTTCCATACCCAGTAAAGATGGACAGGATAAGCTAGCTTCCCACTCTCGGGGATCATTAGCAAGTCATCTCTCATTCTCGCTCCCCATTTCCCCGTACATTTCCAGCAGCTTTCACTGAGTGCTTTTGTAGCAGAAGACAATTTAACAGTCATTTCATAGCGTGAGAATACCTTCTCCTGTCAAAGCGGTAAGGCCTAGGGGATGACTTGGGCTTGCTCAGGGGAAGAGGAGGAGGAAGAGGGAAGGGAAGAGGAAGAGGAAGAGGGAAGGGGAAGAGGGGGAGAAAGAGGCAAGGGGAAGAGGAGGAGGGAGAGAAGGAAGAAGGGAGGGGGAGGGAAGGAGAAGAGGGAGGAGGGAGAGGAAGGAAGTAGTGGGAGGAGACTCACTATCCTGGCCGAGAGGGAGCACCCCCACACCCCCGTGCTGGGGAAGTGGAGGGTACTGTGGGCGCATTCCTTGTGTCCATATCAAGGCACAGAGCTGTACCCATTCCTGCCACAGGCTGCAGTTGCTGTCCTCGGGGAGCCATTCTGTCTGCTGCCCCCAGAAAGAGGAACCACCTGCCCCATCCTCCAAGAGCACAGGTGCCTGAGTGGCCTGGGCATCCAGGGAAATATGAGGGTGGGGCCTTGAATACTCTGCTTCCCTAACTGGGGACGGCAGGGAAGTTTCTAGAAAGAAGTCATATTGAACAAGAAAAACAAAGTCTAGGGGCAATCTTTTCCTCAGGACACAGTCACCACCTCCCTTCCCCTGCCTCTAGCAGCAGGGCTGGCTTCCCAGCTCTTGTTCTGGCTGGGAATTCACCCAGCAGCCTCTGGGGCAGTGAGCCCCTCATCTGGAGTGGCTTTGCCTTCAACACTCCATCCTCCACTCTCCTGAATCTCTACTTAAAGACATGCAGTTCAAGACTCAGCTAGGAGCTGCTTTTCCCAGCCAACCCTGCCTCCCCTTACAGGAAGCACTCCTCGACTGCTAGGGCTCTGAGACACATGGTTCCTTGGCTGGACCACCCCCAACATTTGCTGGAGGATGAGGTCTCTTCCTCTGGGACCCTGAGGCTTCTCTGAGCTGGAAGCTGATGGGAGGAATGGAGCCAGGGATCTTGGCTCTTGGTTCATGAGACCTCTTTTCAGTTTGGTGCTCCCTGCAGTGTAAAATCCTGGTGACAGTCACAGCTGGGTTGAGTCAGGGACCGACAGGGCCACCGTGGAAGAGTTTAAACCCGTTAAACATTGAGAAGTGTGGTACATGGTGCTAACATTTGTAATCCTGTTTTGCTCAGCTACATTGTGAGTTCAAGGCCAGCCTGGGCGACATGAGATCCTGTCTCAGAACAGCAACAAACAGCCAGTGAAGACGGCAAGGAAAGAAGCCGTTTCTTACGGAGGATAGTTAGCAGTTCAGCTGAGATCTGCCCTCTGTCTCAAGGGTTCTCAGGAGGTAGGACGGCTCCCAGAGTGCGGCCTGTACCCACAGCAGAAGGGTGACAGAGCTATAGGAGGGTATACAGGGTGTGGAAGGGAAAGGGAGGGCTTCCTGGAGGTGACACATGAGCTGGGCCTTGAAGTATGCATAACAGGGACATTGTAAGACGGAAGATGGGGGTCATTGTACGACAAAGAAGTACGCGGTCTCAGGCAGGAAGGTGTAAAGTCCTTGGCATCTTGGGAACCAGCTGGACATTCAGTGTAGCAGGATAGAAGTTGGGGGTTTGGGATGTAAAGGAGTGTAAAGATGAACCCCCATGGGAAGCCTTGCTACAGAGAACCTTGGTACCAGCAAGAAGTCCAGGAGGACAGTGCAAGTCTGGAAAATCCTCAAGCTTGTGTTTTGGCAAGAAGGCTCCAGAGAGGGGTATAGAGATGACAGCCTAACGCTGGGATCTCAGCAGCCGGGGGAAGGCAGGGGCTGCGCACAGACAGAAAGGTATACAGGCAGGCAGACAGACACTCCCACCCCATATTCCATGATTCGAGTTGAAGTAAGAGCAGAGAAACGGGAAGCCAACAAGCATCCTCCAGCTGACCTCCTCTGGAGATGGCTCCTGCAGGCTGGAGGCCTCTCAGCGCAATGGGGCTGCCCTGTCCTATTTGCTGTTGAGAGGCCCAGGTGGGTGAGGCAGGGTGGAGTTCATGCCTGCCTGTTTCCCTGCAAACTCCTCAGGACAGGGTCTTTCTCTCCTACACCCGTAGGCCCCATGCTGGCCGCTTACCCCTTCTGCCACCTGCTTTATTGGAAGCTACTCTATTTTCTCATCCCTCCCCAACACAGTGTGGCTTGGACATTGGTTGTAGATGTCAGGAGAGAATGTGCTGGTCAAGTCCCTCAGGAACGGCAGTGTACGCTGGTGTTTGGGGTGCCCATGGTTGCCACCTGCTATGCATCTGGTGAATGTCTGAGCTTTCTCTTTGCGGAGATCTGACTGTGCTCTTCCGTAGCCCTTCCTCCCACCCCTCACCTCTTGCTGCAGGAGCTCTACCTCTGACAACCTGCAAATGGGGAGGCCTGGGCTACAGTCAGCCTGGGTGTTTGGCCTTACAGCTCTATGGAAGAGGCGGAAGCTGGGCCTGGTGGGACAAGCCTGTAATCTCAGCTATGGAGGAGGCAGGAAGGTGTGTGTTCAAGGCCTGCCTGGGCCAGAGTGAATTCAAGCCTAGAAAAGGTTGGGGCATGTATGGCTCAGAGATAGAATGGTTAACGGAGGCCCTGGGTTCAACTCCCCATACTGCCCACACCCAAATTGTGAGACTCTGATGGACAGGATGTCTACTCCTTGTGGATCCCAGAAGAGATCAAAGAGATTACAAGATTGGGTAGACAGGATGAAGACCTGACTATTGGACCACTAGCCCCACCCCTCCACTAATTCCTGAAAGTCTCTCTTTCTGTGAAGGAGATTGGCCTGTCACACTGTAGCCACCAGGCAACCAAGAGCTAAGCAGCCCAGTGCAGGGCCACATGTGGAGCACAGGCCAGGCCCCAGACTGAAGGATGTACTTGTTTTCCTAAAGCCAGCATCAGCCAGCAGGTGGCACTGCAGAGAGCAAGCCGCCACCAGGACGTCCTGCAAAGCAGTAGGTGGCCCAGCCCACTCTCAGGTCCCTTCTGCCTGCCTCCCTCCTGCCAGCAGACACAGCTGGAACTTCCACCTTGACCCAGCCCTGTGACCAGCAGGCTGTGCAGGTGGAGAGCCCATGGCCTGTGTGGGTGAGGCAGCTGCCTAGAGGGACGTCTAGTGACTCGCCATGTCTCCTAACCCCTGGCAGACCTGTAGAGGCAATGTACATCCTGAGCCATAGTTCCTTCCCTTCAACCCCTCTGAGGAGAAGATGTCACAGTGGAGAGTACATTGGCTTTATCCAAAGGCTGTTTGAGACAGCCCTGGACCAGAGGGTTTTCCTGTGGCTAGGCAGGTTGAACTGTTATTTGCCGAGGTTGGTGGGCACAGAGGCAAACCTGGCCCTGTCTTTCTCTACTTGACTCTTCAGGGGGCTGCCAGATACCCTGGGTGATGCCCAGCTTCAGCTCCTCACCTCTGTCTCTCCCTTCTCCAGCTCTGTTCCCGGCCTCGGGGCACACTGTTCCTTTTACCTCTCCTGTCATCAATCCCCTTTGCTTGCTCCCTCTGCTCATCCCTCAGCCAGCAGGGGAGCAGTGTCTGCTCCTAGAAGTCTTCCCCAAGCGCTAGCTCCCAGCCTTGGTTACAGTACTCATGTCCCCTGCCCGTCTGCACCATACACCCATTGTGCCAGCCTGCTAACTGCTTCCCAGGCCCTGCCAGATGTAGCTCTTCAGACTGGGGTCTGCCTGCCTCACGTCAGACCCCAGATTCCGTACACAGTAGGTCGTAATCCATGAGCTGAAGGAGGCTAGGAGGAGAGGTTGGAGTAATGTCCCTGTCTAGCGACATCAGAGGTCTGAGGAAGGCCAGTACCCTCAGAGCACCGGAGGGCAGAGTGCCGCTGGCTGCCAGTTTCTGCCAGCCACTCTGGTCCTTTCAGGCACAGACTCCTATTCAGCAGGCAGACACCAGTCTGTGGGGGAAGAGAAGGACGGGTCCCAGGAAGGCTGTGCTGGGGCCCATGTCTTGAATCTGTGTGGTTGTGGGCATGGACCCCCTCATTTCTGCCTCACTGAGTCAAGAATCTGCATTCTGCCAGGACACTGGTGTGTTGGCCTGGAGGATTGTAGAAAACCTCAAGGCTAGTCAGGCCAGGCACATGGGACCACACTTAAAAAGCCTTATAACCATTATGCCTGCTAGAACTTTGCCACCCTTCCTCCCAGTCCTCTCCCGTCTCTATCAACTCACAGAATATGGACTGAGTCAGTTTGCAGACCTGGGGTTCCCCAGAGACAGGGGCTTGCCTACCTCGGAAAGTCACTTTGGCGATCCGGTCACTTCTGCCTCGCAGCTCTGAGACGGTCTTGAGGTGGACGATCAGGGCCATACTGGCAGGGAGAGCCTGGGCAGTGCCAGGCAGAGCAGCAGGAAGGAGCAAGCTGGTTGAGTGCAGCTCACACACCTCCCTCTTCTCCGGCTGCTGCCGCCTCCTCCTGATGCTGCCCACAGAGACCAAGGCAACCACAGCGAGCTGCTTCTTCAGCTCAGCAGAGCCGTGCAGCCCTGCCAGCCCCGCCCCTCTGAGCTGTCAGCCCAGCATGTGTGTAGCGTGTGTGTGTGTGTGTTGTACACCCAGCCAGTGGCTTGGGAATGCACACTGAATTCATTATTCAGCAGCACCAGTCCCTAGATAAAGGTCTGCCCAGCTTCAGGTATCTTCTCTCAGCTCCTGGAATGGAAGCTCTTGCCACTTGGAGCATGGAAGATCTATGTCACTAAGACCCAACAGATTGCAGCAGGCATGGGAATGGGGTAGATGTGGGGTCAGGGCACCTCTTTTCATGGAGATCAGGAACTTCATGATCTGGGCTTTGATTGGTACACAGGTATTTTTGGGAGTCTATGGTGGCTCCTATCTAGCTAATCACGAGGGTTGTGGGTGCTTGGAGGGCTTGGGGAACAAGGACAGGAAAGCCTGGCAGCCCGGATGGATCGTGCTGTGTTACTTAGAAAAGCCTCACCCAGGGGCAATGGAGATGCCTCCGTCGGTAGAGCATCTGCTACAAGAGCGTGAGGACCTGAGTTTGGATTCTGGCATTTGTCTTAGAAATGGGTGCAGTGGCATGGGCTTCTAGCCCAGTTCTGGGGCAAGGGAAGGGTGGAGATAGGAGAATCCCTGGAGTTTAATGGCCACCTGGCCTTCTCTGAATGTATAAGCTTCAGGTTCAGTAAAGAGACCTGTCTTTAAATAAATAAGGTAGACAGTGACCAAGGAAGACAGCGGAGGTTGACTTCAGGCTTCCACACATAAATACAAACACATGCATATGCCTACATGGATGCATACATACCACACACACACACACACACCTAGAGTCTGGAGACACACACACTTATCTAGAGTCTGTATACACACACACACTCACCTAGAGTCTGCACACACACACACACACACACACACACACACACACACACACCATACATTCACCCAGAGTCTGGACCCAGGCACACTACACTCACCTAGAGTCTGTACACACACACACACACACACACACACACACACACACATACACACACCTAGAGTCTGGAGACACACACTTACCTAGAGTCTGCACACACACACACAAACACACACACACACCATACATTCACCCAGAGTCTGGACCCAGGTACACTACACTCACCTAGAGTCTGCACACACACACATACACACACCTAGAGTCTGGAAAGCAGTTTCTGTAAGGCAGCTTAGAAAATGCTCCCCAGGGCTGGTCCCTATGAAATACAAACACTAGAAGTAGCAATGTACTGACCACCTGGCCCTGTACTGTTTGTGCCCCAGGGATGCTGGTTTCTCTGGTTTCTGGTGCTCTGCCCTGGGATCATGGTTTGAATTTCAGGCAGCTGGTCTTGAAATAGGGATCATCACTGGAGGTACCCTACTTGAAAGCCACGGGGCTTCTTCTGTGTAGGGCAGGGTGTAAGACGTAGGACTCCAACTTAGGCTGGGGACAAAGAACAGGGTATCCTGTAATAGAACTCTAACTAATACGAACAGGGCTCAGAAGCTCAGTGTCCTGTCAAAAAGTCTACAGGCGGGGCTGGAGAGATGGCTCAGTGGTTAAGAGCGCTGACTGCTCTTCCAGAGGACCTAGGTTCAATTCCCAGCACCCACATGACAGTTCACAACTGTCTGAAGATCCAGTTCCAGGGGATCTGACACAAATGCACATAAAATAAAAGTTAAATAAACCACAAAAAAGTCTACAGGCTTTGGGCTGATAGACTGGCTCAGCAGGTAAGGACTCCTATCACCCAAACTGATGACCTGAGTTTGATCCCTGGACCTGTATGGTAAGAGAGGATCAACTGGTCTTCTGGCTTCCAGATGTGAGCTGTAGCAATGGACTCCCCTGCGCACATGCACACACACACACACACACACACACACACACACACACAGAAAGAGAGAGAGAGAGAGACCATGTGTCCTCTCCACATAGATGATAAATAAATAAATATAATAAGAGGGTTTGTAAGTTTAAGGGGAGAAACACTAAACTTTCATGCACTGTAATAGAGTTACCTCTTCAAAGCAGAGTTACGCCCAGCGGAGTAACCTACAGATACCCAAGAGCCTTCACTTCTTCTAATCGTTTCCTTGATCTTTGCCTCCGTTTCTTCTAATCGTTCCCTTGATCTTTACCCATTTCTCTGTGTGCTCATTTTCTCCTTCTCCCTCCCCAGTTCTGCTCACCTTTCCCACACATGTTTAATTACTCTGAGTAAGAAAATTCTTAGAAAATGCATATACTGAATAAAAGCAAATATCTGAAAATTTTAAAGACCAAGTTTAATGTCCCTTTAAAATTAATTATACAGATCCATCTTTGTAAGGCTCAGTGGTACTTAGCAGACCCCTGCTTCCCAAGGGTCCCCTGGTTGTGTTTCGCTATAAAGGATGAATTTTAGGGAGCCCTTTGCAGCCCTGTGCATATTGAGGGGAAGTCCTTCAAAGCTGCCCTAGGAACTGTCACCAAACCTCAGTTTTCCCATTGGCAAGATGATAGCAGTTCCAATTAGCATAGCTTATCTCCATCAGCTGACCATTCCAAAAACTACCCCAGATATACCAGGTCAGAGTTCATGCAGAAAAAAAAAAAACCCAGAAAGTCCAGAACAGCACAGGGGTGATGTGTCCATGAGCTGGACCAACTGGGATGCCACCGGTGGGGAGAAGGTGAGCGCGTCACCTTGTAGAGCTGGAGTCATTGGGAAGTCTTCCTGTTGTATGTCACATCAGATCTACAGGGCACCTTTTAAAAACAGCTTCACTGGCTGGGCAGCGGTGGCACACACCTATTAATCCCAACACTTGGGGGGCAGAGGCAGGCAGATCTCATGTTTGAGGACATCCTGATCTACAAAGTGAGTTCCAAGACAGCCAAGTCTGTTAAAGAGAGAAACCCTGTGAAAAACAAAACAACTTTATCAAATGTTTTCTTTGTGCAGCAATGTCCCCCAGGAGACTCAGGAAACTGCAGGTAGAACTCCACTGACTTGGAAACCACTCACCCACCTTTGGCTTCTTTGCCACAATAGGTTTTAGTTGTTCTGATTTGTGTGTGTGTGTGTGTGTGTGTGCGCGCCTCTTGGAAACATGACGGGCTGGCATCTGTTAGAGGGTATCTTTGGCGTGTTCTCATTGCAGTGGCATCCTGACTTCATTACTGCTTGTGTCTTCATTAGCTGTCATCTACAGAGCCAGCTGAGCAGGTGACACTTCTCCCAGGCTGAGGAGAGAAGAGATCGACTTGGGGATGGTTAACATTGACCAGCTACTTGATGGGACCTAGATTTGCCTCTGGAAAAGCCTTATGGAGAGAGACAGTTTATGTAAAGCAAATCTTATGTGAATTTTAGGGCTTTGATGACTGGAGGAAAACCCAACCTGTAGGGGTAGCCCCAGCCAATCACCTTGCTTGTAGGGCGGGGTGGCCTGAGGATATTGTTTTACTAATAAATATTGCTGGTGTGCTCTCCCCCGCCCCTTCTGCTTTCCTGTTCTCCGCTGGAACCACAGGTTCTGTGAGTCTTTCCCTAATTAAAGCTGAATATATTCTTATAATTTCTGTCTGCCTTCATTTACGCCGCTACACCAACCCTGAAGATTCCTGCCCAGAATGAACTGAGACAAATCGAAACCACTCGCTTCAGTATTTACTTCCATATCATCCTAACAAAATAATGGACCGAAACAACTTAACAGAGCCAGGCTTTATTTTAGACAACAGTTTCAACCTAGCATAGTGGGGAGGCAAGGAAGGACAGCTCTATTCACAGCTCGGTGATGAGAAAACAGAGAGAGGCCAGAACCAGGGGCCAAAGCATGACTTTCCAAGGGTGCCCTAGTAGCCACTCACTCCTGCCAGGGACCATCTCTTATAAGAAAAGTAAAAGCCACCAGGGAACAAGGCTCAAGACAGGAGCTGGTGAGGGATATTCTAGACTCAAACTATAACATTCACACCCTCCCTCTCCTCCCCCGTCCTTCCTCTGCTCCTGTCAGGGTCTCGCCAAGTTGCCTAGGCTATCCTCAAACTAGCAATCCTCCTGCCTCAGCCTCTGAAAATGGGATTACAGGTACAAATCACCAAACACAGCTCACCCTGTCTGAGGAACGTGGGAAAGGAAGCTCAAAGGGATACGGGGAGAGTAATGAAGAAATGAATACAGAACTCTGAAATGACGGGGTTGGGAAACCACACACCTAGTGACGGCCCATCATGGAGCCATTTCTTGGAGCCTCAAAGATGGAGGGAGCCCTGAGCGTCCTAGTGGTCCAAACTGAATCATTGAGAACCGCTTCAGGAGCGACCTAGCCTTTTCACTTCCCCACCAAATGTGAACGCCTAGGCTGGATGCCAGGGAGACTTGGGGGAGCCACACAGAAAACTTGTGGGGATGGTGGGGCGAGAGAGGCCGTTTAGGGAGCACACTGCCGAGGACTCACTGTCCCAGAACGAGCTCGGGTTGCCAGGCACATGGTTGCCGGGTGACCAGCTGGCTGTTTACTGCAGGGCTGAGCCGAGCCACAGCGCTGGGGCTCGCAGCACCCACCATGGCCTCCCGTAGCGCGGGCACACTATTGACCGAATTCAATGCCGCCTTCGTGCCCCCCGCCCTCATGCCCGGGTAAGCCGCCAGGCACCCTGGCACACCTGAACTTGCCCGTCAGAGCCCTCCTCCTCCCCACTGCACACACCTGCCAGGACGCCGATGCTCCGCCCTCCCAATCTGGGGGACTTCAAGGAACCCCATCTGGCCACTTTTCCTTCTTGGCTTTCATGACTTTTCTGCTATAACAACAAGCAGGCAGGTGATGGG